GTAACGATAATAATTATAAAACTAATAATAATAATGATAATAATAATAAACAAATAATTACATGAAATCAACCCACCTAGATGAGGAGAAAGAAATGTTTTTGTTAAGTCTTTGCGCTAATGTTGTGTTAAATGTTCACGACCACACTGATCAGCCGAGAATTCACCCGCGGAAGATGATTTATTTATGGCTATAAACATGAATGTGAGATATTGTTGTAAACATAAAGATGAGATATCGTTGGAAACATAAAGATGAGATATTGTTGGAAACATAAAGATGAAATATCGTTGTAAACATAAAGATGAGATATCGTTGTAAACATAAAGATGAGATATTGTTGTAAACATAAAGATGAGATATCGTTGTAAACATAAAGATGAGATATCGTTGTAAACATAAAGATGAGATATCGTTGTAAACATAAAGATGAGATATTGTTGTAAACATAAAGATGAGATATTGTTGTAAACATGGAGGTGAGATATCGTTGTAAACATAACTAAGGGGGCTAAGAAAGCCTCGATTCGACTCATTTTGGAAGGAAATTTGCATCTTTAAGTACATTTTTGCTTCTTCCTTGCACTTTACATGATCAATAAAGTTGTATCTCATTATAATATGTTGTACAATAGCAGATTTGGGATGAAAAACGACAAAAAAATGAAATTAAAGCACTTGACCTAGATCTAGATCTAGATTATTTCGTTCTCGGGAGAGCTAAAAATAGACCAGGTTAGACCCAAGACGGAGTAAGACAAGACGAGACAACAGCCTCATTTTCGTTCCAAATGGTTCCCCTTGGTAACCAGCTAGCTGCGCGTTTAAGGCGTAAACAAACGACAGGAAGAAAGAGCGCACTGTTCAACTCGCTGAAATAGAAGCCTAAATCTACTTTGAATTTCAAAATGGCAGTTTTGCCTTGGGTTTTTTCATATAAACTGTTTGGTATTTATTTTGACTGGTTTTTGTTCACATTTTTAATATAGTGAGTTGAGAATTGTAAAGTTTTTATGAACGGAAATCGGTAGTGAGTTGAACATGGTGATGTAGATCTAGGAGTTAACGAAACGTAGAAGTAGATTCGATCTTACAGTTTAAGAACGATAGAACAGCCAGTGGTGCTCTGCAATGAACTGTTGTCTAACATATTATATTATAGATTGGATATTTTTTAAACTAAAGATATGGCCACTGCTAGAGTCCAGCAGCCAAACTGTTGACTAGATCTAGATCTAGATCAACTACACATCGAGCTGTTCCCCAATGTCAGAATCAATCAATGATCAGGAACTGAAGCTAGGAATTTTAAACAATGGCACTCCTGTACAATAGCGGTCCCGTGTGCACTAAATCACGCAAGGCCTAAGTGCCCCTGTAGTAATTTTTACGTGTTTCTTATTTAGATTTAGGCCCAGATTATAGATATCTAGAAACTAGATATAGATCTAGATCTAAACTGAATTAAAATTATTGATCTAATCAAGATCTAGATCTAGATCTAGATAGATCTAGCTATCTAGATCTAGAAATAGATAATCTTGGCTATCTAGATCTAGATATAGATAGAATCTAGAGATATCTAGATCTAGATCTAGATCTAGATTCACTTCCACATGACAATAATGGCCGTCATGTAAACATTAAACGGGACCACAATTGTACAGCGAAGTGGCTAGCCGTACTTAGATCTAGGTTTGGCCCTATCGACTCAAGCCTGTTAAGTACACAGGTCTCATTGGATCTAGATCTAGTAATTATTCAGGTT